ATACCCCAAATGAGCTGCTGAGGATGGAGCCGGCTATTTTGGACAAACTGCACTGGGACCTCTATATTGCGACGCCGCTGGACTTCTTGACCATAGTAAGTACGAGGGGTTGGCAGAGTCTACCCTAGACTCATTTGTACCTTTGGAACAGCTGTTCACAACGTAGGGTGGCCAAGCACAGGCGGGCACACGCCCTTGCGCATGCACCACGGGGAGGTGACCCACAAGGCTCACGACATACGTAAGAGTGAAAATGTATCTTAAATCCAACACAGTTCCACCAGACTCCCACTTCTAAAAGACATTAAATTAACTTTATAAAGATTTTTAGACGGCACTATTGTGGTGAGTTTCTCTTTTAAATACACACTGCAAAAATATTTAGCTTTCCATTCTATGAATACTGTACATAAAAAGCTGTCTGCTTTTGCTACACTTTACACACATTCACTTAGCTGTCTTTATTCACCTACACACAATCCTTATTGAGGCTTTAGACCATATTGATCTGGCACTTAAAAAAATGTCGTATTAGTTGGTGTTTTTTTAGTTCGGGAATGATGGTCATCCTTAAGGATATGATTCTGTTAGTAAGGCAAAATTATGCAATGTGGAAATGTCATGGGGGTTTTGGTCTGTTAGGAGGCATGAAGATTAAATCACTAAGGGCTGTTTCATTATGGAAACTGGCCACTGTTGCCAAGTTGCAGTTTCTTCTCATGTCAAACAGATGCAAGTCACTTTCCTGCTACCTTAATCTTGAATAGTATGCTTCTGTTTTTCAGCATGGAAACATTGTCATCTAGGTACTTTAAGCTCATAATGGCCATGTCAGGAAGCAGATTGTCTTTTCTCTCCAAGGTTGAAGCTCAGCTTGGCCACAGAATGAGTATTAAGCCTCAAGTCCCTTAGGGGCGCCATGGATGGGAATGAAAAGGGTGGGGCAACATTTGATGTTCCCTGATGGAAATTGAAATTGTTTGCACTTTTGGTCATTTATCTATGAAAGGTGGGGGGGGGGTTGTGTTCTAACATTAAAAACCACGGTCTCTAGTTCCACGCCCTTGTGGTCGTGGGCTGGCCCCACGTGGTGGAGCTGCGGCCTCAGAGGAATCCTTCCCTCCACGTCGCGTCCCTGACCAGGCAGCTGCAGCACTGTATGGCGGGCCACCAGCTGCTGCAGTTCAAGGGCTCCACACTGGCCTTGGTCATCATCACCTTAGAGTTGGAGAGGCTCATGCCCGACTGGTGTACTCCTATATCTGATCTGCTAAAGAAAGCACAGGTAGACATCAACTTTGCCCCAGACCAGGCTCTCCACGTTGCCCCTTTAGCTGACGCACTCTGCCCCCAAAATGGTACGCATCACCCTTCTTGGCCCTTGTGGGCTCCAGAAGATGCTCTGGCCACAGTGACTCTGTGAAGAGTCTCCCCTAAGGGCTAGGCTTTGTACACCTGGCATGTCCTCTGGATGAGTATGGGATACATGTTTCCTTTACTGGACCACTTGGTGGGTGTCTCTGACAGTAAGAAGAGCTTTATCTCAGTGGCAGCCCTTGTAGTCAAGAGGATGGGGTGAGGTCAGGGGGACATGCGCAGCTCAGGAGGAGGCGACCCTGAGCTTAATATGGGAGAGGTTAAATTTCAGGCCCCTCAGGCTTTATAGGACTATTGGGTACCAAGGACTGGGGTACCATGAGGCGGGTATGGGAGGGTCGGAATCCCTGAGGATGGACAGGGTAAGATGGAATGCATAGTTAGACTAACAACAGCTTTGCTGAGGTTGGAGTTGGAAGTCCCTGAGATGGTGGGGTTAATGCTCTTAAGTCGAGCGGTTAGACCTTCCTGAAATTGCTCTATGCTAACATTTTAGCACTCAAAATTTGACTCAGGATGTAAAATGGTTCTGCTTCAAGGATGACCACTCTATTTTAATTCCAGGTCAGTACTGAGCAGTTGAGCCACTGCAAGGGACTGGTAAAGCAGCGCCTGAGAAGTTTGTAGTCGTCCTCCTGCTCAGACAACTTTCTGCCCCACCTCCCAGCCTCTGTGCCCCTACCCCTCGTATCCTTTAGAGCAGAATGGCAACCCCTTCTTGCTGGGACTCCTCTGAATTCTAGGCTTTATTGATCCTGTAACAAGGACGGGGAAAAGGCACTGGAAAGCAACCGAGAAAAAGTTCCTGGGTCTTTAGAAGGCCATACAGAGGGAAAAAAGGCAGGTCAGGGTCACTGGTGGGAAGGATAGTCTGAAAAATCAAGACCCTGCTTTCCTCTCTCCCATGGGTCTGAGACCAGGGTGAAGGAATGAATAGTCATACTGTAGCTTGGTTTTCCTTCTGCAGCAAGGGCTGGTATGGGTCGCTCAGGGAGGTAGAGTCAAAACAGTGGTGGGCCTTGCTCGGGTCCGAAGGGCCGGGCTGGTTCTGACCGACCAGTTCTCGCTGCTCCACTGGCCAGAGCTGGCCAGGTTCTTCCAACTTCCCAGGCTTACACCAAGCACAAACCTAGCACTTCAAGTCCCAGTGACCCTGCCCATCGTTGCAAAAATGGGACCATCTCTCCGGGTGCATTTCCCCTGACTTGGTCCTGACTTAGGTCTTCTCTTACAAAAACTGGATCAGAAAGTATGCTTTGTCAAATGTACAGCAAGTTGATCAAGCTTAAAACATGTTTTTTTCCTTTGTTACTCTTAATCAAAGTAGTCTGTTGGCTTAATTAGAGGAATTTTGTGCTAAAGAATGATCTTAGCAGCCGACACCCAGTGGGGGAAACACAGCTCTGAGAGCTTTGGGTTGAAATGAGCAGGTTCTGAGGCTGAGCCTGCTCCAGCCACGGTGCTGCTAGAAGGTGCTTACCAGCATGGCTGTGAGGGAGAAGCCAGCTCTCTGACACTGTGACACCACAGAGCCATCCCCTGGGCAGCCATGTCCGCCAGTTGGAGCTGTGTCAGTTGTGCTGTGGATAGGAATGACCGAAGCACTATTTACCAGTGCTTGGTGAAGTCTTCCCGCCATGAGCAGTTTTTTGCAAGTGTGCTAAGCCTCAGGGACGGCTAGGAGGTGCAGAGGGGTCAGAGACCAGATAAACTATACTAATGTCTGTACAGATCTCTGCCTCTTCTCCACACAGATTTGCTTGTTGGAGCTTTTGTAAAAATAAACTTGAATTCCTTGCCCCCTTGTCAGAATCTTATTTTCACTGTATCAACTACCATGGATGTAGACTTGATAGTCCAGTATGCTTGGAATATCCTCTCCTGGGCCTCAGCAACAACTGTCTCCCGTCCAGCACAGATGGAGAGGCTGAGGGGCAGCATGCTGCTCAGGGCAACTCCCACTGGGGGCCACGGCTGCCTTCTGCCTCCTTCCTTGCACTTGGAGTGGGCACCACAGTGGGTGAAATATGGGCTCACAGTGAGGGCCCACCCGGCGCAGGCTGTCTCTGACTTTGGAGAACTGCAAAGTCTCTTACTCGGGTAGCTCTGGGGTGTAAGCTGGGTCCTCAGAGCTAATCTCTCAGTCAGAGCAAATGAGTAAAAGGGGAAGGCAGACCCGTGAGCCCCGTACTGGGAGAAGGTACAGCCAGCCCTGTTGTTCCACCTTGCAGTAAACCATGTGCCTCTCCTTCGGGAAAGCAAACTTGTGCATTGCCAAAGTACCACTTGTGAGTTTAAGAAAAGTCGTTACGCTGTTCAAGCGTGCCTTGGGATTCCAGGTCCCATCCAACTCTCCTGCTTTTTTCTTCAGGAACCCCCTTCCCACCTCAGATCAGAGACTGGGGATCACTGTGGTGGGAGAAATATGGACACAACCTGTCTTGCTCTTGTCCCCATCTCCAGAAGGGCAGGGGCTGGTGAAGGACCGTGGCTGCAGAAAATGGAGATGTTCGGAGACTCGGGCAGATGGGCTGAGAGCAGGATAGGTGAGCAGCATGGGTCTTTTTACCTCTTATCCAAATACTACTTCCCCCAAGCGGGTGAGCTGAGTTGTACAGTGCTGCTCCCCCCACCAATGAGACCCTTCTCTCCCCTGGCTTCCTGGAGAGTCTCTGTCCTTCAGAGCTCGGTGAAGACTTTGCTTCCCTGCTACCTGCCTCCCTGCAGGCAGAGCTGAGCGGTACTTTCATGAGAGATGTCTGCAGCACAAGTCTCCCTGCTGGGCTGTCAGCTCCCTGATCTTGGACTCCCTCTCCTCATTTCGGTCTTCCCAGAGGTTAATCTAGTGCCCAACAGAGAAAGCGCCTCAACAAGTGGATCCACGAGCTTGTCATCGCTTCCCTCAACCACCAGTCTGCCCTTCTTCAACCAAATATTCACCCAACAGGGCATCCCACCTCTACCAAACCATCTCAGGTCCACCAACCCACACTGTCAAACTGCACACTTGAATTTGGGCTACATTTTCACTGTCCTTCTGTGATCCCACTGGGTTGCCACAGAGGAGCTATAGCTCAGGAGTGAAGGACACAGACTACCAACATTCAAATCCCCATCCCCCTAGATACTAGCTATGTGACCTTGGGCAGTGACTTTACCTCTCTGTGCCTTACCTATGAAATGGGGAAAAGAGTACCTAATCATAGGATTATTATGAGGATGAGAGGAATTAATGCACGTAATGCAACTTAGAGCAATGGCTGATATACCACAAGAACTCAGGTATTAGACGTCCCGTGTCAAGCCTACTCCACAAGGACGTAGACGAAAGGCAGTGTTTGCCCTCTCCTGGTCCCGCACGCAGTCCCCCACTGAAGATGCGTGGGCCATAGGCTGTCACTTCTCTTCCCTAACTTTTTCCTCCACCCCACACCCCTTCCAGAGCCTTTCACAGATGCCCAGAGCAGGAGTCGCTGTTAAAACATAACTCCTACAGAAGCCGGTCAACCCCACAAAGTTCACAGAAAAGACAAGCTGTATTTTACCAGAGTTGTAGCAGATTAATAGGCTAGGAATCGGGTTAAATCAGAAAAGCTATTGCCAAAAAAAGACACCACAAAAACTCAAAATAAATGCAAAATTTAATGGGAAAAAAAAAAGAGTACAAAGTGAATGGAAAAGAACAAAAACAGTCAATGTATGAAGGAATAAATGAATTCACAAGTGAAGCAGTTTTAGAAAAGCTTGTTAACATAACAGAGGAGCAAGCCACACTTCCCTCGGGCCTCTTATCCAGTAATACGAGCCCCACTTGACAAGCACCCACACAGAGACACACAGAAACATATATTCAGTCAGTCTGCACAGTTCCAAACCACCTAGACTCGGGTTACCCATCACCAGGGTGACCGTACGTCCCGGTCTGCCTGAGATCATTCCAGCTTACACCTGTTGATCTGGCATAATTACTAACAGGGCCTCCTTTTACTCTGAAGAGTCTCAGTTTGGACAATAAATTACATGATTCTACCCAAAATCAACTTGGCTTATGAAAGACATGATAGAAATGCCAGCGTAACCCCACTGACAGCCCTGATAGTGCCCAAAGATGATTCTGCAAAGGAGTGGCACATCAGATACCGCAGATAGGGCTCAGGTCCCGGGCGCGGGAGCTTGTTAAATAATGGCCCGGTTTAAGCTCTCCTCGTGCACCCAGGACTAGTTTGGTCTCAGCTAAAGATGATAAACTTCCAAATACAAGCAGCACAGACAGAGAAGTGCAGTGAGGCTCACTAAAGCCAACGGGGCCTGTGGAAGCAGCTCAGACCCCAGAAAATTTAACAGCGACGGCTCTCCCCAGAGATGCTGGGAAGCCTTGCACCCACAGGCAGGTAACCAGCCACAATTCTGGTGTTCCAGGATGCCTGGGGTGCAGCCCACAGGCTGTGGTGGATGGGTGGCAGAATATATCCACGGCAGCGTCCCCAGATTGGCCCATGAACCAGGAGTCTCCATTTCTTAAATAACCAGTGAATCTGCGGGGTCGCTGTGCCTCATCTTCAGAAATATGTTAGCTCACGGAGGCTATCTTAAAGGTCACACTTCAGCACAACTGAAGACACTCTCAGACATATAATCCCCCTAAAGCCAAGTCACTTGAGGCCCACGTGGGCCTTAGGTATATGCCCATTTGCCTTTTGAATGCCCACACCGAAGCCCCTCACAATCTGGGTCCACCCCTGGTCACGGCAGGACACTTGGCAGAGTTCCACTCTGGGCATCCTCCCCACTCTGAATGGAGCCCCATCTTGGAAGCACAGCATGAAGCCAGGACTTGGTCCTGAAAATCAGCAAAGCCAAGGGGCCAAGGCAGAAAGGGGGAAACAGTGATGGGAAGGAGGTTGGAGGACAAGGAAAAACAAACGACCAATGCAACAATAAATTAGTGCAGCTTCCCAAGGCTTCTGATGAGGGAGTGCTCTAGACCGTGAGCTCCTTGGGGGTAGGGCTGCGTGTTATTCCGGGGAGGCTGTGCCCAGCACAGTGCCCCATCAACATTAAATGAGCTCCTTCCTTTGAGCTACTCATTTTTCATATCCTATTTTATCACGCCATATCCCCTGCCCTGACACTCCCACTGGCTCGCAAACCCACAGGAATGGAGAAGAATCAATGCCGCTAGTACTTTCTTAAAATGATCCCCTGAAGAACGCAGTGGAGAGGGGAAGGCTCCCTCGCTGGTAGCGTTTTCTGAAATTGTCCACACGCATCAGACACCTTCATCTCTTTTCCTCGTGACTCAGCCAGGAAAACAGAAAACAGTGACCTTGAGATAAAAAAAAAAAAAAACCTTTTCCCGGCTGAGTCCTCTGGATTGGGAATATGCCAGGCTTGGTTTGGGGGTCTTAGTTGGAGTCAGACGCTTAACACACACATGGAGTTGGTCCCTGTTTGTAGGCAGCACCTCTGGAGCCCACAGACAACGGCTTTGGGCTACTTTCCATTTACATTTGCATTAAAAACACTGGACGTGGTCCTTGTTCATGACCCACTTTCATCCGTAAAGAAATTCCGAACACTGTCCTCACAGGATGTTTATTGCCCACCTCTCCCTAATTATTATAGGGATGCTTGATACATAAGAAAGGTTTAGAGATATTTTTAGTTCTTAAAAATCAGGGAACCTGGGTTACTTATGAAAATAACGGGAGAGGGTATTATCTGTCTTCACACTTGTGCCAAAATAAAAATTTAGGAGTCTCCTAAAAGTTATTATTGGAATTAAGCTCTAGGTTAGAAAAATTAAAATGAAAGGGAATCGGGTGAATTTTGCAGCATGTATACCAGACCACGCGGCCGCACCTAGGGCACCGCATGAGTTGCCATCTTGACGCTGAACAATTAGGCCAAGCATCGCCGGCTGGGGCCTTCGCGAGAGTGGCACATAACTGCTCCGTCAAGGAATAGTGACACTGTAAATGGAAGACCAGCCACTGGCTCTGAAAAAAATAAACCTTGTCAGTTTTGGATTCCAGCATTCATGGCTTTGACGTGTTTGCATAGAGGGGGGTGGCCCGCCAGGCCCAGGGCAGCCTGGGGGTGGGGGCAGGGGACAAAGCAAGGCTGTAAACACTGGAGTCTGTACCGGCTCCCAGTCCGTCCTCACACCATGTTATGGGAGAAGAAGGGTCACAAGGTGTAACTCAAGCAACTTAACACATGAAAGTCTAAAGTCCGCTCTTGACATGTAAGTCTGTGCGTGCGTTAACTGAAAAATAAAAATAAAACAAACAAAACAAAAACAGACACATTAAAAGATACGCAGACGACCAAATCAAACAGAAACAAAAGACAGCAAGTTGGACGCTGGGAAAGGGCAGTCAGTTTGGCATTTGTGACGAGCAAAGCAGAGAATTCGCTTCAGTTTGTGGCATCCCAGGCTGAGGGTCAAGATCTGATTGGGAAGTAATTTTGCAAAAATGGATTAAAATTTGAAGACCAAGTATAACCCATCAAAGCAATTCAACTAAATGGTCATGAAAAACAACCCCCCCCCCCGCCACCACCACCTGGAATGCACTCCGCACTGACCCCCTTCCCAGGGCAGGAGGAAGGAGCGCTCCTAGCCACCTTACCTAGCCCGCTCCTGGCCCCCCACAAGGCCAGCACGGGAGCATAGGGTCTCTCCCGGTGGCCAAACTGACTGAAGCTTTCTGGCATGTCCAGCAAGCAGAGAACACCTGTCTCCCAGACCCAGGCCACATGGGAAAAGCAGGGAGACCTGACACCGGGATGGACTCCCACCCTGAGGGCTGTGCCAGTGCCCGTGGAGCCAGCCTGCTCTCCACCCCCTGGCCCTGACCTGGCCACAGGTCCTTGTCTTCCGTTCCTGAGGGGTTTTTCCATAACTTATTTCCTAGCGGACTCTCCTTTTCTGAAACCAGATGGCCTGGGCCCCATAGGCAGGGAGCAGGGCAAAGTCTTGTTAGGTGCCAACACCTGGGACACAGACCCACACACCCCTTTCCAGGAGAAACCAGATTTCTGAGCCACTCCCTTAAAACCCACATGGATTCCAATTCACAGAGTCCCCAGGCTCACCAAGCTAAGAGCTGGACATGGGGCCGGGGCTGGAAACAAATGCAAAGCAGAGAGCAAATTCACATGGTGGAGGGTGGATTTGGGGCTAGCGTCCTCCCTGGGGACAGGCAGGGGATCATCTCTGCCAGCAGTGCCGGCAGATGGGGGGGTCACCAGTGAGCAGGATGAGGGAGACTATAGAAAGGAGAAGGGTCTGTCCCAAAGCAGAGGACAGGCCTTAGGCATAAGAACAAGCATTCAATTCCTAAATGCCTGGCTTTGTCCCCCCGGCCTCCCCCAGGGGGCAGCTCATGAAGTCTCTTTTCCTTAGATGTGTCTACGCCTCTGTGCCTACGCGTCTTGGGGGCTGTGTGTGTTGGCAGATACGTGGCTGAGTCTCTGCATGTGACGCGGCTGGAGTGACAGTAAGACAGACCGTGTCTGTGTAGGTGCGTGGGTGGGCGCGTGTCGGGGAACGCAGTGTTGCAGGTGGAGAGGGTGCTAACGCACGAGCAGCGTCGCAGAGCCGACAGCTTCCTAGGCCCCGAATGGCCTTAACCACAGGGCAAGGAAAGGAGGGCCTGGATCCACACACTCCCCAAACGTTCTGAGAAGAGACGGGAGCCCAAGGAGCCCAAGAATGAGGGCAAAAATGGAATCACCCGCTCAGTCCTCGGCGGACAAGAGAAGGAGGGTAGCTGACACAGGCCAGGGGCAGGGGAAGCCGGGATGGACGAGATCGCACAGTGTGATGTGGTATGGGACACTGAATGCAGTGAGGTGGAGGAGGGAGATCCCCAGGAGCCAGGGCATCTGCACTCCAGCCGAGAGTGCGGAAAGAGCCTCTGAGAAAAGCCAAGGAGCAATGACTCAGAGTTGCCCCCAGCTGGCCAAGAAGGTGACTGCACGCCTGGAGGCTGGGAAAAGCCTCCTCGCCCTCCCGTCCTCTCTCCTCCAACTCTAACGTGAAGGGCAGCCGCCGGATGGCACAGGACCCCCAGAGCCCCCTACGGGGAGCTGCTGTCCTTCCTTCCACCAGGCAGTGAGCCTACTACCCAAGGGGTCAGTGCTGCCTGGGCTCAAGTGCCTGCTGCCCTCCATCACCAGCTGCCAGCCGATGTGGGTCACCCATCCGCTGTCTCAGACACTGAGGGGCATGCACCACAGCGGCCCAAGCAGAAACCACGGGAGCTTTTGGAATCTGGAAATGCTCACATTCCCAGGCCCTGCTCCTCTCTGGGCCTGAAAGGCCTTCCCTGAGACCTCTACACCCTCTCAGGGGCCACACCCTGCCTATATATATGGCCCAGTCTTCACCACCCCAGCTCTGAAGGGACTGTAGAAGGAGGGGGGAGAGAGGAGAGAGAGAGGGAGAGAGAGGGAAGAGGGAAGCATGGGGGGGGAGCAAGGGGTCACTTGTGTAAGACAGAGAGTGCACAAATACCTGGTATCCTGAGATATCAGGGTCCCCAGTGAGAGGGAAAGAAAGGTGGGCAAGAGCGGGGTGGGAACGAGAGCAAAACGGTCAACAGGCGCACAGGGGCGAGAACCAAAGTAAGCCGAGTGGCGCCCAGAGGGAAAAAGAACCCGTGCGGACAGGGGCCCCACCACCTACTTCTTCTTGTCCTTGTCCTTCCTCAGAGGCTGCTGGGAGGTGGCATGCAAGGCCTGGGACTGCAGGGCCTCCACCGCGGCCTTCCTGCGGCTGAAGGCGTTGGCCTCCTCCTCCAGCTCCTGGCGCTTCTCCTCCACCTTGCGCTTCTCCTCCTGGTGGACCCGCTTGAGGTGCTCAAACTTCTCGTGGAGCTGGGAGCAGAAGCGGGGGAGCTCTGGCCTCGTGGGGATCCCGCCAGGCCCCGGCCTCCCTCGCCCGGCCTCACCACACACCCGAGCCCGCACACACCTCCCTCTCCTTCTCCTTCAGCTCCAGCTCTGTCTCTTTCACTTTGTTGACAAACATCTGCCTCATCTCTTCCTCCTTCCTCTGCAGCTCGCTCAGGAACTCCTTGCGCTTGGCCTCGTAGGTCTCCTGCAAGCTGTGGAGGCCGAGAGAGAAGAGGCCGAGAGTAGGATGGCGGCGGGCTGGGGTGGGGCGGAGCCAGACAAGGGGGACGGCGATGCTGGGGTCCCCGCAGCCTCTCTCCCCGGCTCACGGGACCCCAGGCACAGACGCCAGGGTGGCTGTGGAGACAGGCGGTCACCTGAAGGGCTGGCTGTCGCCGTCGCTGTCCTGGAAGCCCATCTCCTCCAGCTTGCAGCGCCGGTAGAGCTCGTAGTGCCGGCTGTGGGTCTGCTCTCGGAGGTCCTCCATGTTCACCCGGATCAGCATCTCCCGCAGCTTCACGAAGTCGCAGTGGTTCTCGTTCTCCACTGAAAGCACAGGGCACGCGGGCCATCAGGCAGGCACGCAAACGGGCACGGGGAGGAAAGGACACAGGACAGCGGTCCAGGTGTTACGGGCAGACTCCGGAGGTGGGACAGGCAAGGGGTGGCCCCAGGGAGGACGCGGGACAGAGGCTGCGGGCAGCCAGGAAGGACAGGGTGCTCCATCCCGGCCCCCGACTGCGGACACGCTCTCCCCACCACACTTACCCTGCACCACGCCCCAAGGGTACTGCCGTGCCCGGACCAGCTTGTTCCCCACCTTCACCTCCTCAGTGCTGCCCACCACAGCGAAGGGCAAATGTGCCTAGAAAGGAGCCCAAGGATGGCTGAGCACAGGGCTGACAGACCAGTGGAGAGACCCTGTCCTGGGCCCCAGGGAGAGGTGGCCAGACCTGAACAAGGCCTGGCCAGGGCTCACTTCCTGGCTCTCTTTTGGAGGAGTATCCTAGAGCCTCCAAACAGGGGAGCAGGCTGAACCTGCACCCCGTCTTCCTCATGTTCGAGGGGTCCTTTCAGCCCTTGGGCTCCCCAGAGGCCAGCAGAGGCTCCCTCACAGGACCTGCAAGCCTGGCTTTCTTCCAAGTTCCCAAGCCCTGGCATCTGGCCTGCTTACTCCTCCAGGTTTCAGTTCCTGCCCAGAATCCTTATCTTGTGAAACTTAAACTCAGGGAAGGCCCAGCACCAGCCCAATACCCGATTCCTCCCAGCTCCTGGCTGTAGGACATAGGGCCGTCTGGCTCCCAGATGCCCACCCGTCTTTCCTGAAGAAGCTAAGGCCGGGATGCTGGGAAACCAGAGTCTCTGGAGCTATGTGTCATAGATCTGTGCTGGCTCCAAGCCCTCTGGCCCCGAGGCCAGTGCCCCATGCTCACATTCATGACTGCGTTAATCTCGGCAACAGCCTCGTCATCAGTGGGAAACTGGTAGATCTGAACCCCATTGCTGACCAGCTCCCCCATGATCTTGATCTTGAACTTGTGGAGCTCGCTCTTGGAGATGGTGTCAGCCTTGGCAATGATGGGAATGATGTTCACCTGCCAGGATCAGGGGAAGAGGGGCAGCAGGTTAGTTCTCTCTGACTGTGGACAGCTCTGCCCAGGCCACATCCCTGCGCAGACAGGCAGGAGGCCACAGAGATGGAGCTGCTCCCATGGGCAGGCCCGGCTTGAACCCAGCCACTGGGGCCTTTCTAATGGCTGGTGCTTCTTATAGCCCTGGTTCCCCCAAACCACCATTCAGCCCCAAAATTAGTCCTCTGGGCAGACCCAGCTTTGACCTGAGAATAAGAATCGATTCCGCTAAAAGGAAGGGGCTCAGGACCAGACCCATGAGACAGAGCTCTAGAGAAAGAGCCCAGAGTGAGGGGAGCCCACTGGAGGAGGGAGGACAAATGCAAGAGAAGACAGAGAGAGGGCCAACCCCCGGGCCTATCTGCGGGGCCCACAGCGGCAGAGCCCCTGACAGGGACCACGGCGGGCGGCCACACCGCAGCCCCCAACTCAGGGGAGGGCCAGGAAGCCCAGGGAACAAGTCTGGGGGTGCTTACCTTGCTGTCTAGCTTCTTCATGGTCACCAGATCCAGGGACTTGAGGGAGTGCCCCGTGGGTGTGATAAAGTAGAGGCAAACGTGGATCCTCGTGTCGTGGTAGTCAAAGAGGGAGCGGCGGATCTTCAGTTCCTCCTGCAGGTAGTTTTCAAACTGCGCATCGATGTAGTCGACTATGGGCCTGTAACTACAGACAGCTCCGTCACCCAGGAGGCAGGCACTGAGCTGCAGGGCGTGGGGCTGCCCACCAGATTCCCCTCTGTGGGGACAAGCGGCTTCTGCCTGGGGGTCCCTGTCTGGGGACAGGTGGCCGACCCTGTCTCCTAACCTCCAAAGAAGTCCTCAGGACCTCAGGTATTCGCCGAGAGGCCTTCCTCTGGCCCCTGTGAGGTATGAGGCTGGCTAATTCGTATGCGGGCAGCTTGGAATGATGAGTGCCAGGGCAGGGTGAACCAAGGCCGCCACGGGGGGAGGGAGGGACGGGGGTGGGATGAGACCAGGCGGGCCACCCTTCCCGCCTCTTGCCTCTCGTCCTTATTGATCTGATCCCCGAAGCCCACAGCATCCACAATGGTCAGCTTGAGGTGCACATTGCTCTCTTGGAGGTCATAGGTCTGAGGCCGCAGGCGCACACACTCCTCATGGTGACTGGCTTCCTCGGTCTCGAAGGTCGTGTTGAAGAGCGTGTTCATCAGTGTGGACTTGCCAATGCCAGTCTCCCCTGGGAGCAAGGAGTGGAGGAGAGAGGAGTCAAAGCTGCTGACTAGGATGGGTGGGGCTCAGGCACCCTCAGCCTCCACACAAGAGAGACGGGCAGGCCGCTAACTCCATCCCTCACGGTTCCCCTCCCCAGAAACCATCCTTCTTGGTGGCCTCAAAAATAATGTGTGGAAGCAAGGGCCAGAAGGCTGACTTAGACATAAGCCATGGCTATGTGGGCAGCTGTGAGAGCCACTGGACAGTAGTCTCTGCTGGCCTCAGCGGGACCCAGTCACCTGCTCTGCACACCATCCTTCCTGGGCCTGGGCTGGTCGTGGGCCCAGCAGGGCCAGGGTGCCAAGCCACCAGTGGCCTCTTGATCCATCTAGCTTTATCCGGCTCAGGATAGGCTTTCCCTGAGGCGCACCCACAGCCCAGTAGATGCCAGGGTGCAGACACCTGGGGAGGGTCTGACAGAGCTCTTTGTGCCCTCTGGGAGCCTTGAGGCACATGGAACCTCCTAGAGTCTGCCTGTTTGGGGCTCTATTTGTTCAGATGTGTGCTGGAGCTCTTACTGCATGATACTATAATAGACGGGGAGTCTTGTTTACCATAGTGTCCTTGACACACAGTAGGAACGACAGTAAATGTTCTTAACACAAACACACAAATCTAAAAAACTCTGTGATAAACACTCTCAGTTTACAGAGCATGTTCACAGGTCTAATTTTGTTCACTCTTCAAGGCCCCTGGAGTCAGGCCCCCCACCTCCGTTCTTGACCCTGGCAAAGACACCAGTCAAAACGGCACCCCCCCCCCCCCCCCCCCCACAAAGAGTCTCTCTGCCTGGGAGGTCCCTGGTAGCTCAACAGGTGGACAGGGCAGCAGCGCCCCATCTCCTGGGTGGCTCCTGTTCCCTGCCCCCCGCCCCGGTCTGAGACCACCCCAGCCAGACCATGACACATACCCACACAGAGGATGTTAAAGCTGAAGCCCTGCGTGACCGACTTGCTGACCAGCTGGTCCGGGAGGCTGTCGAAGCCCACATGGCCCCCAAGGGACAGGGTCCGAGGCTCTGGCTCTGCATTCTGCCAAGAGAGAAACGGAGCAAGGCAATGAGCCCACTGGGGAAGGGGGGCCACGTGGGGGAGAGGCCAAACCCCAATGTCCCGTCCCCCCTCCGACCCTTGTCTGAATTCTCAGCAAATCTCAGGACACAGTGTGAGTGCACCAGAGCACAAACTCCAGGAGGAGCTTCTAGAGGGGAAGCCCGGTGCACCTCAGGGCGCCTGATTCCATCCCAGAAAAGGGCTTTCACCCATGCCTCTTCTCTACTGGGGTGTCTCCTGGCACGGATGGCCCAGGGAACCATCTATCCTAGTTGCTCTCCCTGAGGGCTCACCTGTCCTCCTGCCCAAGAGGGGGCCCCAGACAGTCCCCAGATCTTAAATAAAGATTTCAAGAGGCCAAGATTGGATAGCATGTATGTTCCAGCAGCTCCCTCCCAGACCTCACAGACACTCCTACTGAAGCAGGACTCAAGCAGAGACAGGTCTGGCCTGACCCCTTCACACCAGTTCTCCATCAAAGGGCCTCCCCGCCACCAATGGGCCGGGCTCACGGTTCTCCACGCGCACCCCTTGCTCCGCACGCACCCAAGCATGGAGTGCACAAATGGGCCCTGCTCACGGGGCCGGTGCTCCCTCACGCCCGCCACGGGGTCTCAGGGCTAGTCTCTGAGGCACTGTGACTGAGGCCTCATCCCTCCTGCCTCCGTGCTGCCCTCTAGGGACTCCCAGGCTCTGGCTCATGCCATCCTCCCACACCCACTCCAGCCCTGGTTGTTTAGACAGAGGATTCTGGATGAGAACGTGGAGGCCTGGCCTCAGGAGAAAGGCAGGCAGCAGGTCCCGAGTGAGCTGGGGCCACTGGAGCTGGTCCACAGCACTATAAAAAGAAACCACCAGGACCCGAAGCAGAGGGTCAAAGTCAGACTCCAATTTGTGCAGATGATTTCTCCGCTTCTCTGGGAATGGAGATAAAATGCTGTCCTCCCAAGGGAAGGTTCCCAGGCTCAGCCTTTCCAGCTTCGGCCCTTGTGAGGGCAGGCCTCCGACAGCTTCATGTTGGGCAGAAACGCTTCTGCTCTATTCTTGAGCCCCTCAGCCCTGGCCGCCCACTAGAAAGAGCAAGGCCAGGGAAGGGCAAAGGTGTGAGTCCCATCCTGCCATCCTGTCCACAGCTCCAGAGGGGAGGAAACAGGCCCAAATGAAGGCAGCCCTGGGAGCGACCAATCAGTAGGACGGTGGCAGTTCTCACGCCAGTGGGGATACCAGTGGGCCCGGCCCTGGCTGCCCGCCCTCCTGCAGAGGGATCCGCTCAGCACCTCAGCCCTCCCTGACTCCTTAGTAGCCACAGCCTGTTGCCTCAGCCTGAACCCCTCTAACCATTTTCTCCTCCCAACCACAGCCCCCTGGCACATACACTCAACCTTCCCTCTTTGACCAATGATGCCCATCCCTCTCCCCGCCCCCACCCCACCCCTGGTTCAGTCACTGCAGCCTTCAACTGATGATGGCCAGGTGGGTGTGTTGGCAGCCTAGACTCCACGTGGACCCTCTGGGCACTTGTACCATCTCTTCGAACAAGTCAGGCTTAGCCCTACACCTGCTCTCTGATAACCCTCTCACCACAGAGCCTCTGTTCTTACAGCTGACCCTTTCTCCATCTCCTCTACCCCCAGGGGATCACGTTACAACCTCCCCACTCAAGCCCAGGCTCCCCCCAGGACTGCAAACACGACCCAACAGAGAGGCCCCAAAGGCAGCTTCCTCTCACTGGTGCCCACGTTGGAAACAGTAAAGAGAGCATAGGATATCCTGGGTCAGGTCCAAAGTCCCCAGCATGGCATTCTGGGCCCTTGATGGTCTGAGGCCTTCCTCGAAGACTCAGCCAGTTTAACTCTGGATTCATTCTTCCAACCGGTCCCTATCTCCGGGCTCCACAGCTCACTCGCCCTCTTCCCGGGCACCTGCTCCGACCTGGCCCTATACACTTCCATTCCACACCCCTCCCTTGGCTGTGACCCCATTTCTTTGCACTGTGTGTTGTCCTTTTTTTATGCCTCCGGGTTTTCCAACTCTTCCGTAAGTTCCTCGAGGCTGCTGCAGGCTGGGGGAGGTCGGGCTTTCTGCTCTTCCCACCCTCCCACCAGTATGCCCAACAAGCCACACAACGCCGCCATTTATAAGCCACTGAACACTGCCTTCAACCGCTACGGCATCGGGGGCATCTGCCCACCTCACACAGAGCTGCATTATGTAGTCTCGGTTCCACCTGCTCATCGCAGCCTAAGGATCAAATGGAGGACAGAACGGTTAGTCTAGAGCGCTTTTTTTTTTCCAGGCGAAACTGAAAATCTCCAAAATTTAAGGCGTGCTGTGCTTGCAGAGCAGGCTCTGTGTTTATTCATCCTCTTCTTCCAAGGGTGACACAATCAGGATGCAATCCAACATCCTGTAGCCTGCCGCCAAAACCCACCCAGTCAACTGCGTCTGGAAACCACGCGCGCGCACTCGGCTGCAGAGTCCTTGCCCAGGAACAGAGACCATCCCATTTCTGAGTTTCCCACTCTCTCACAGTTCCAGGTTCCTAAGGCTGAGAGCAGCCCTAGGGTCGGGGGCGGGGGTGGGTCCTCACGTAAGTCCACCTATCTTCCCTCGCTCAGCTAGCCCTGGCTGCCTTCACCCACACAACTCCCAGGCTCTCTCTGGAGAAGTGTGTGGAGTCCAGGGAGGTGTTTATCTCCAGACTGTGGCCCAGGCTGCACTCTGTCACCCCAGGGACCACAGACCTGGGGCAGTCGACGCCTGCTCAGGAGCTTCGGGGCCCATGGGAGTGTCAATCTCCAGGGCATGCGTGCACACACACATATGCACACACACACAGAAGAATGGCCACTGGCCCTGAGGAGGACAGACTGGTCCTCCTTCCCTGGTCTGGGGAGACTGATCTGACTTCCTGGCTCTACTGCGGTGTGACTCTCACTAACGCCAACCTCTCTGATCCTATATTTGGCATCAACAACATATGATCCAAGGTGCGCTGCTCACTCCAAGGTGCCTGAACCAGGTGTCTCTGCTGACCCAGGCTTGGAGGAGCCAGCAGCCCCCGAAGCATCACCGGCATGTCTCAGCTAACACAACTCAGGAAGAAACTTCAGATCTCCCAATGGCTACCTGGTGATGCTGCAAAATGCCCTGCAATTTGCAGGTAAGACTTCAGCTCCCACTCTAAGGGTAGGTCCTAATAGCCCTGACCCCATCAGCATGATCCCATGGCTGGCTCAGGGACAGGCAGGTGACCCAGGCTAAACCTGGATGACCATCTCGTAACCATGGGGGAGCTAGCATCAGGCTGCAGCCCATTCAGAGGACGGCAGTGCCAAGAAAACCACGGAAGAGAGAGAGCCAGTTTCTGCTCTACCTCCGGGCTTTTCCCTTTACCCCTGGCCACACCTCCCCTTTACTGCCTCAGCTAGTTGAGTGGGCCTATCCAGCACTCACAGCTGAGAACATCCTGACTGCTAGGGTTTCCAAAGTGACACTCTGAATGCAGAGGAACAGAGAGAAAGCGAGGAAAGTAAGCACAGGGAAGGAAAGAGTGCACAAAGTAAAACGTCTCCGCGTTTGCAACCAAAGAAAGGAACAGAGGTCAAATGAATGACCCAACACCTCACTGAGGACCGCTCTGTGTAAACTAAGCTAAGTGGCTTACAGGCTCCTACACAGTCCCTCCCCACCCTGTGTGGCAGACACCATTATAATCCCCATTTTATAGGTAAGGAAACTGAGGAGTACGGACACTTTGAGAACAAACTGGGGCAGAGCTAGGATTTGAGAGTAGCCAAGCCCTGGCCCCAAACCACCAGGCCATACTTCCTCCCCTGTTCTTACAAGGCTCCTGACCCCTTCATTGAGTCACTTGGCACACATGCATGGGACCCATCCGCTGCATGTGCCAGGCCCTGGGATGGCTGCCAAGGAAAAAATGAGGACACTGGATGCTAGACCTCGGGGGCTCAGTCAAACAGTTTAAATTCAAAGGCCTAGAGAGGCCAGGCGGGTAATGTCAATGGGTGAAGAGGAAAAAGTAGAGTCGTAACAAGGACAACAATACCTAACAGCTATGGAGTGCTTACCACATATGGCTCTAACTGAGAGTCATTTTGTCCCCGCACCAGCCCTGTGAGCTAGGCCGTCATATCACCTCCATCAAACAGATGAGATAACCGAGGCTCCGAGAGATTAAGTAATTTGCACCGCTCAGGCGAGTGAAGCCAGGATCTGAATGGAGACAGGATGACTGCAAAGCCCACGCTTCCAGCCACATCACTGCACGGCTTGCTGGCTGTGAGACCTGCTGACTTGGCTGAGTGTGGGGTCCCCCAGGGAGAGGTGGGAACGCCGGGGAATTGCAGAGCCTGTGCTCGGGCCACAACCACCGTGGTGCGGCAACTCCAGCCAACCATGGGAACGTAGGCCCGGTGCTGCCAGATCCAGCAATGTTTCAAGAGAATCCACAATCTAGATCATCACATGCAATCCCCTAATTTTTAAAGGTTGGCACCCAATACAAATTGGGAATGCCATGGGGCCCAACACAACCTGTCTGGGGCTTGTACCTGGTCTGTGGCCTGACAATCCACAACACGGCGTCTAGTAGGACAATGAGCCAGAAGGACAACCCACCCGGTGTCTCCACTCTTGGGGTGCGGAGGCCAGCAGGAGAGCGCTCTGCAGGAGGAGTCTTCAGTGAGACAACTCAGCTCAGCCCCTGGTGAGGAGCGGGCCCAGCTTCTGGCCCTGTGCACACCTCCAGGTCCCTGAGGTGCTGGCTCAGGGGCTCCAACTGTCCTCAGAGCTCCAGACCAGAGAGTCAGCAGCTCTGAGCCCTACACACACAGGGCCATTATCCCCTCTCTCATTCCTAACAAGCTTTTCGCTCCTGAGCCAGGCCCCGGGCTTCCGTGACATCATTTCTTAGGCACATCAAAGTCAACAACCCAAATAACCACTCAGGCCAGCCA